AATCTGTACTATTGAGAGAAATTAGTGGTTATCAGGATAAATGATTAGCTTCTCTTAATTAAAGGCAATTACAATAATGTGTAATTCATTAATGCAGCTGTGCCATTCTGTTAAATATCAGTTTCACTACAGTACCAAAGACACTCAGTACACATACTGTATAATTGTTAGACCCCTTTTTTTAGTTTTTTTATTTGCCTTACAAACTGGCAATGGATATTGTATCTAAAATAGTATAGACAAATGTTATAGAATTATAGCTTTATTAAAGTAAAAAAAAAACTGATAAAAAATAAAGGTTTTTATCCTTTAATATGTTTGTGTTGTATTGAAGACTTACCCTTGTGATTATTATTCTTGTTAGTAAGTAATCTCATCACTTAAATGTTTAAAAATATCATTATACTATAAATAAATACTATTAACAAATATTATACTAATACAGAGTAAGGTACAACTCGCGATGCTTATACCCATGCCCAGTTAATGGGTTAGGAGTCACAATCAACAAGGAGAGATGGAGAACTATGGAGAACCAGCTATTCAAGAGCATTCTGTGGAAAGATTGTGAGAGATTGGAACAAACTACCCAAAGAGTGAGTATCTTTTGAGTGTCCAAAAGGGACTTTACAGAACCTGACAATATAAAAAGAAACATAAAAACAAACAATGCATATAAACGTGAGCAAGAGAACCACAGGAGCAACACAGTCATGATGCCAAAGCTGGCACTATCACCTCTTTTAATAAACAGTCTGATAAGATCCATAGGATCAGTTACTTAATAAACCTCACATGAGCTAGATGTAACAAATCAGCTTATCTGCAAACTTTTCTTGGTTCTTACGAAACGCAGACACAATGACACAAAGACAGACACAACTGCAGCATGACAATGACAAATTACATGTTAATCCTCTGCTACATCCTCCTTACAATATGGGTGTTTCTATTTTTACTTCTTTGGAATCCTTAAAAATAACCTTTGCGGTCAAAATTGTACCATTCTAGGAACCAGCAGATGATGCAATTATAGCAACTAACACAGCATCCAAAAACGTCTTTTAGAAAGGTAGAACTTGAGAAGCCCTGGAAAACAGTACATACTGTACATTATGCTGAAAAACAGAGGGACTATGTAGAGAAGTTATTAATTTTATCAAATGTTTGATGAATTATATTTGCCAATGGATATCTAATATTGATATTGACAAGTGGTATACTATCTCACTTGTTGGTCTGGCAACATCAGTGCCGTTAATTGTAATAGGCTGGGAAAATTAGTGAAAAGTAGCAAAATCAAATCAGCTTTATAAACAGAGGGTTGTAAAGAAGGCCAAGAATATTACGGAGTGTGTGTCTCATCCCCTCTGTTGTGAATTTACACTCCTCCCATCTGGCCTCTGTGTTGCCAGGTGTAAAAGTAACAGACTGAACAACTCTAAAATCTCACTCTCAAACAATGTAAATTCTCTCATCACCTGTCACAGTACTGTACTGTCTTCTCTGTTGATAATGTTTGTCTGTCTTTGTTGTGTTGGACTGTGCTGTAAAACATGGGTGTTTTTTCCCCCAAGGGATAATAAAGCTTGAATTGAATTACACTTTTAATTAGGGATATATTTTATGTGTAATACTGTATATAGTTGAAATGGGTAATATTTTACCATCTGTTTTTCAAAATTATGTCATTGTCTCTTCATGTTTTTATGTATATTCTAAGCTGTCATTATTCATTTTCTGATTGTGTAGTATGACTCTTGCAGTCTTTGTTATATTTATTCAACACTATTTGTAAAATAGAATATACCATATGATGTCTTGAGATGGGGATTTTGCTGTGTATGTCTGTCTTTGTAGTTTTCTGGTTGTGTTGTATGCAGGGGCTAACGATGTATATTATATTTTTAGCGAACTCTGGTGCATTTTAAGAGCTGAGCACTGTCCGTGTTTAATAAACTCAACTAAATCAGAAATTAAAGTCTCCTTGCATGAACTTTTTTAGGGTGTTATTAGTAATCATCACCACAAGAGGGAGTCATGCACCAAAAATGTCTTCAAAACGTAATGTACAAGGTGTTATATAATTAAAGTACTTTCCTAATTTAAAAATTATTTTTACTACATGTACATATGTACATGTACATGTACATATGAAATAAAACTTCTGTTTAGTTCATTTGTGAAACTATGCTAAAGCAATTTGCAATTTTTAGCAATCTGTGCTAAAGCAATTTGTTTTAATATCTGTAAGTACAGGAGGAGCTGAAGCGAGCATAGAAAGAGCTGAAGGTGAGAGTTAGGGAGAGCAAGGTGGCTTATGGGAGGAAAATGGAGGACAGGCTGAGGGAGAGCAATGTGAGAGAAGTGTGGAATGGCATGAGGAAGATCTCCGGATACAAGTTGTCCGGCGGCCAACAGAGCGAGGGAGGCCTGGAGAGGGCCAATGAGCTGAATCTGGGTCCACTGTCCATTCACCTCACAGCCCTTCACCCCAGACACCCTCTTCATGTCCTCAGTCACCCCATCATGTGATCCCTCCTACTCCTACTCCATCTTCCCCTGCCCTCCTCGGCCTATCCATCACAGCTGACCAGGTCAGAAGGGAGTTGAGGAGACTCCATGCAGGGAAGGCAGCGGGTCCTGATGGTGTCAGCTCCAGGGTGCTAAAGATCGGTGCGGACCAACTGGGTTCAGTGCTACAGTACATCTTCAACCTCAGCCTGAGATTAGAAAAGGTTCCGATGCGCTGGAAGACATCTTGCCTGGTGCCAGTACCCAAAAAGGGGCACCCTAAAGTCTTGAATGACTACAGACCAGTGGCACTTACATCACACCTAATGAAAACTCTGGAAAGGCTTGTACTGGACCACCTCAGAACCCTGGTGAGTACAGCACTGGACCCCCTGCAGTTCTCCTATCAGTCACACTTGGGAGTGGAGGATGCAGTCATCTGTCTGCTACACAGAGCTAACTCTCACCTGGAGAAGATGGGGAGCATTGTGAGAGATATGTTCTTTGACTTCTCCAGTGCCTTTAACACCATCCATCCACCTTAACTGAGAGATAAGCTAAGGGTGGCGCAGGTGGACACTCCCCTGCTGTCCTGGATTATAGACTATCTGACCTGCAGGCCACAGTATGTACGGCTACAGAGCTGTGTGTCCGAACAGATTGTTAGCAGTACTGGGGCTCCACAGGGGACTGTCCTTGCTCCATTCCTGTTCACCTATTACACCTCTGACTTCAGGTACAACTCTGAGACATGTCATCTGCAGATGTTTTCAGATGACTCTGCAATTGTGGGGTGTATTAGAGAGGGGAAGGAGGAGGAATATAGGAGATTGATTACCAACTTTGTGGAGTGGTGTCATCTTAACCATCTCCAGCTTAACACCAGCAAGACCAAAGAAATGATCTTCGACTTTAGAAGGAATAAGTCTCCGCTGAACCCTGTTTCCATCCAGGGTGAGGACATAGAGGGCGTACATTCCTACGAGGCACTTAGGGGTACACCTGGATGATAAGCTGGAGTGGTCTGATAACACTGACGCCCTGTACAAGAAAGGTCAGAGCCAACTCTATTTTGTTTTTTATTTTCTTAGGAGACTCAGGTCCTTTGGTGTGTGTGGAACACTGCTACACATTTTTTATGAATCAGTGGTGGTGGCGGCCATCTTCTACACTGTTGTGTGCTGCATCATGACAAAAGATGCAAATAGGCTCAATAAACTTATCAAGAAGGCTGGCACTGTGTTGGTGATGAGCCTTGACCCCCTGGAGGTGGTGGCTGAGAGGAGAATGCTGACCAAGCTCACAGCCATCATGAACAACACCTCATGGGACTGTTACTGGGCAGCGGAGCACTTTTAGCAACAGACTGCTCCAGCTACGGTGTTCAAGGGAATGTTTCCGCAGGTCTTTCCTCCCGGCGGCTGTCAGGGTGTATAACGCTGCCCTAGGCTAGGACTGTTAGCCCTTCATTTGCTCGTCTATGGACAGCATTTTTGCTCCATTGTACTTTTTGGACAATCAGTCTGTATAAACCTATGCACATTTTGCACATATTTTATTGTTTTACAGTGACTATGATCATCACATTTTGCACACACCTATGTATTTATTTATTTTTATTTATTTTGTTGTCTTTTGTTTTATAACTATTCTGATGTCTGTTTTGCTTGTCTTGGGCTGGACGGCTGTAACACATCAATTTCCCTACGGGATTAATAAAGTATTATCTATCTACATCCATACATATGATGTACACTGCATATCCAGATGTAATGTATCTACTGGTTAAACTACCTTGTTAGTTTTTAGAGATATCTAATAACCATATAAAGTTCAAATACCCAACTATTTTACTGATTCATTTTGAGATTTCATGCAGTGAACTTACACAATATTACATTACGCCTCTCAATTGAACATTGACAAATGATAAACACTTTGAAATATGAATTGAAAACAGCTAATTACAGCAATAAAACATGACTTCACAAAACCCTGACAATAATTAAAATATATGTACTGTATTAAATTATTACTGTTATATGTAGTACTATGAGGTCTACAGTACATGTGATTTTGTTCTTTGAATATAAAGTGTGATCTACACATTTGTGTGAGTGTAGTGCCAATTATTTTAATTATGACATTTGGAGCACATGAAGCAGAATAATCCTTGAGATGTTAGAGTGGGGAGCTGTATGTGTGCTAGCTGCCAAGCAACAGGTAGAGACTAATTCAATACTGAAAGTAAAAAAGAAAAAAAAAGAAAAACTCCATGTTTTAGTTACACACCTGAAGAAGGCCTTTTCTTTTTTTTTTTACATTAACAATGGAATAAACCTCTTCTTGTACCTAATCCTAAGCATGTTTATTTTCAGTTTTGGTCAATTTAAAGAATGATCTGATCTCCTTGTTATTTTACATGCTCATATTATACAGTAGTTTCATTGTATAGCAAATAAAAAGTGGGGGTTATAACAATTTGCTTGTACTGCAGCTGTTTATTTGGCTTTCATTGTTTTGTTCTGTGAATCAAAAAGCAGAAAGATTTAAAGCAAACCCAAATCAACATTAATCAGACAGCCAGTGACACATTGTTTTTTTTTATTTTTAAACAGAAATGCCCACATTATTGCTGTCAGTAGAGAATTCATATCTGTGTGAGTCACAGATGAAGTGATGGTGACCTCAAGTGACAGTGGCTGCAGCCCTTCTCTTTTTCCAAAATTCACACACGAAATAAATGGTGAGGTCACATTCTACGTCATTCCAGAAGCCAGTGTTCTCCATTTCCACACAGTTCTCATTAACGAAGGCATTGTTGGGCTCCCCTGGACTCCAGCCAGTGTAATTCTGCAGAGGAGTGCCGTCTACATACACAAACTGACCCTCCTTGTCTGAATCATGTAGGCCAATGAAGACACGGGTCAGACCAGCCTGACTAACGTAACTGGCAATCAGGGAGTTGGTGTCCTCATCTTTGGGCATGGCCAGAGTCCCTCCTCTTAGCCTGCAGTTTATCAGAGCTTCCTTATACTTTTTGGCTTCTTTTACAATCAGATAGACCTTCTCATCCGTCTCCTTGACACCTAAAATGACTGGAAAGTGTAATCAGGCATCAAAGTTAGAATGGTCCAAAAATCAAATGTTGACATGTGCAGTGTTTCACATTCTGGAGCTATATTTAAATAACTGTCAGACTTAATAGGAACAAAAATCGCAGCCATGATAAATTGCATGTTTTTTAATGCTTTTCATCCCAAAGGATTCTAAAGTGCTTAAGAGGAACCGATGTCATTCACTTCTGAAGCAAATCTGGGTAACACCTTGCAGCCATTCAGCAGCAGTAGGTGGAGATAGAAAGTGTTTCACCAGCTGAAAAAAGGGAGACATTTAAGCAGCCTAAAATGTAGGACTGGACTGGACTGGACCTTCAATGACAAAGTCATCAGGAACTTAGTTTAGTCTCATTCACACCGTGAAACTAAACTGTTACAGTCACAGTGTCCCATTTCACCATACCTGGACACTGCTTTCGAAAAATCAGATCCACAGGGAAGTACTCTAGCTTGTAAACCACTTACAGCAGCAAGCTGATTTCCTTAGTGCGGTAATGAAAGGACATGTACTGTACTATACAGCTTGTGAACAGTAGAAGGCTTCATTGGCATCACAGTATGGTCATGCATACGGTAATATTGACTGGTTTTTTAATGCTGTTTTACCACAGCTAATGTATTTGGCTTACATTTTTATCCAAAGCAGTTTACATTTACACCCATTTATAGAGCTGGATATTTCATTGGAAATACTTTGCCTAGGTGGTCAACAGCAGTGTTTCACCTTGGATTTAAATCCACAATCTTCCAGGGCTCCACACTGCTGTCTACATTTTGTTTAAAAGAACATTTGCCTTTTTTATTATTATAATGTTTGTTTTATTCATTCATACCACTGGAAATAGTTCATGGAGAAAACTGTACAAAGTACCTTGCTTGCTCAAGGGTACAAGCAGTAGTGCCCCACCTGGAATTTGAACCCACAACCTTCAGGTTCTGAGTCATTCTTATGTGTTATGATTGTGTATTTTTATACATTGTCTTTCTAGATTCTTTGGTTTCCAACTTAGCCTCTGAAGTTAAAAATATCCTTAAATTATTGTGAGCAGCATATTATTTACCTTTACATGCCCAGACAACAAGTCATGAGAAGAGTAAAGACAGGAATCACAGAGGAAGTGAGTAATTGAGATAAGATTATTGTTCAGACAGCTTTCAGCTTGGCTGTTGGTTTACCAAGACTTAATTCAATCTTCTGAGTTACTGCTATCACTATTTCACCTCTCATACTCATCTCTCTCGCAACCACATGATCACCACACCTGCTGAAGTGGAGGAATTAAAGTCCTTTGTTCATATTCTTCTCCTCCTACTTTAAGTGAATCCTACTGTATATTTGTTACCAAGGCAGTTTCTGTTTGACATGAGAAAGCACCTCAGTGCCTTCGAGATCAAGAAGCTCACCTATGCAAGTAGGCTCAGCTATTGTATGTGTTCAATTTTGTTTCTTTCCTTGTAGAATTTGTTCTACAAGGAAATTAAAAAATCAATAGTCACACCATGTAAACAGAAACTACAGGTGCACAGGCCAAGAATTATAATTGAAACATCTGAACATTGAAGAAGCTTCTATGAGCTCAATTTACATTATCTATTGATCCATTTTCTAATCTATCTATCCAATACAAGGGTCCAGGGCAGCCGGTGTCTATCTGAGCGAGCAATGGGCATGAGGCAGGATACTCCCTGGATGGGACACCAGTCCATTGCAGGGCACACACAGACACGCACACACACTCACACCAGGGCCAGTTTTGCTGCCCTATTATTGTTATATATCTATTTATTTAGATTAACATTCAAAAAGGTTTTGTGCAAAAATTTTAGCATTATAGTATAAACGTATTAGATGTGTTTAAGGTCCAGCTGAAACACACGTTATAATAAACATAGTTTAATTTGTTATTGTACTACAGTACATAGAGTATTCCTTAATATTTCATGGTGGGTACAAATATTAAACTGTATACGTGTTAAATAATGATATAATTCATCCTTATCATTTGATTAGGAACTTTTAGTTCAGGATAAGGAAAAAAAATGGAAAGGGAGATGTGAGTTGTGAATAAATGCTCACAAAAAAGCATTTTGCCGCTCTGCAATTGAAATCAAACTACTCTCTGTTATATATGCTTTCTGTTTGGCTTAATTAAAAGTTTTCTGAAAGGTCTAAGAACAATTGGATTGTATATAACTGGACAGTACATTACTTCCCTCCTGAAAGTAGCTTGGTAGCCAGATTATGATGAAGAAAATATATGTTATGACAGTATTGTCCAAATTATACAACCTCAAAGTGTTTTTTTATAGATTATGTCAAGCAGGATGTGTTAAATGTACTCAATTATTTTACCACATGTATTTTAAAGTTGACATTAAGTAGGATCAAGGAAAAAAGCCTGCACTTCCTTAAATAGAATCACAGCTTTTCTAGGGGTATGCTTAGCTGCTTCTGAATAGCATGATAATAAACCTTTTCTTTCCAGTGCTGCCATGTGACGCCCCTGGTAGTTTCAGTAAATCTAACTTTTACAGAAGTACTATTATCTGACATATCACCCATGAATCAGGTGTATTGTAGCTGGAAGTATTCTCTGTTATGACGTAGGTGTACTTTCCTGCAGGTTCACCTATTGAATTGGTTGTACAGAAATGAAAATGCAAGAAAAAAACTATATGTATTGAAGCACAGTGTTTTCCTGTCAATCTTAGTAGCACATTGTCACTAAACTACGTTAAGATACAATGTCATCGGGAGATTGTACGGTACATTCTGAGACGAAAGTTTGTTGTGTGAATACTTCGAACTGAAAGCCTTGTTATGTCTTTTGTTATTTTTAATGAATATTACTATTATTTATTTTTATGGATCCAAATGGAAAATTTGAAATAATAGCTGAAGTGTGGTGAACATGCTAGGCACTTTGGTTGCCGTTTCCTCATCTAGGTTGGGGCTGCACACTGGTGGTGGTGGAGGGGAGTCCCCATTACCTGTAAAGTGCTATATAAGTGTATGGATTATTTGTTTGTTGTCTAAAGTTGCCTGAAAAAGTGCTATAAGTAAATACCACAGCAATCATAAGAAGAACCTTGAAAAAAACACAGCACATTCAGGTGTACCACAGTGAAGGTGTCAAGAAGGATTTGAAAATGAAAGAATTTACCATTTTTTACAAACTTCACTGAATTCTTCAGCTTGCTGATGTTGATATCCATTTGTCCTACCACTTTCCTGTATCTTCCACAGTCACAGGTAATGCCTACAATTAACAAGCATACTGACTCATGTGCATTTTATTCCTAAAAGATTAATTCAGTTTAATTTAGTCAAACATTGTTACTGAGGAAGAATACAAGCTCTCCCTAATGCTTAGACTTCAAGTTATATAAATATATATTTATTTTTAATATAGCACAAATATTTATAGCTCATTATAATACTTGGAAAGAACAGGGTTTGTTCATATTGAAGATAACTGAAGTCCAAGGGATAATGCTCCCTTTTCCAGCTGAGTTTTCAGTGGCTTAATTACATTAATGATTGCTTTTAAAACAGACAATATTAACCTGACATTTAACCACTGAGAAGGACCCACTTTATATAGATGGAGGCTGTAAGTGTCCACCTAGAAATCTGGAAGTCATGGCCTTTGTAAAAAAGTTAATAAATACCAGGTTTTCCTTTGAATCCAGGGGGCCCTTCAATTCCCTTAACGCCTTTGTCACCTGAAAGAAAGATGCACGTTCCTTACAATGTCAAGTCCTCGTGCAAAACATCCACACATACACACTGCACCAGACCCGTAGATGTGTATATTTGTTTGTATATTTAGATATGTTCAGGTGGGTAGCTGCGTCAGCATGCGTAGGCTGCAAAGGAACAAGTAATAGGTTTATTCCATGCTGATAAAAGAAGAAGGCACCTGAAGAAGGCTCCACCGCCGAAATGTTGTGTTTTCTTTCTTTTTTTCCAGCATGGAATAAACCTATTACTTGTATATTTATATATACTGTACTGTATTCTATAGTGCTAACATGTCTGTATCTTTCATCTGTCTCTTTCATCTTTCATAGTGATGCATTTAATTTTATTGTTTGAGTACATTTTTTAAATTTCAAAAACAAAAATCAAATAAACGTTTTTCTACATTATTTCAACATTGCGGACATCTCTGTTTCGATACACTCAACATCAACATTCCTCCTTTCAAAGGGTTTTGTGAAATTATTTTCCGCCAGTAGGTGGCGGTCGGTGGTTGTATCTGCCTCGGACTGAGGGTAACAAAGATACACATCCGTGCGTATTTTTAACATATATTACTGAAAATTTTGAGTAATGATCTTTTTTTCTGCACTTTCACTTAAGTATTCTAACATTTGAAAGTATACTACTGCGATAATTAAAAGCCAACGTTAAGCTTAATTGCTTTAAGAACAACATTGTTCTAAAAATGTAGCTGTTGTGAACAGTTATAGAAGTTGTGTTTGCAAACATTGGCATTCCCTATACATGCCATTCTATAAAATGCTCAGTAAAATAATCAAACAACCGTTTATGTCCAGCCTTCATGGGTCTGCATATAATTTAACTTCAGGTACTATTTTCAGTAGCTCGTTGGCAATATTATATTGTTTAATTTGACTCAGAGAGGTCTCTACAACAAACACATGTGGATGGTTTATTGTTTAGTAAATATATGTTTGTTTTTTTCATATTTTAATGATTTTTCCAGCTCTACCAATTAGAGCCACATGTTGATAAAGATGAAAAAGGTAAGAACTGAAAGCCTGTATTTTGGTTCAAATTGATGTTTTCCTGCATTTCAAAGGAATTTAGAAACATACCCTGTGCTGAACTCACTGAATCAGCATCCAGTGCAAAGGTGTGTGCTATTGCATAGATCTTGGTATGCTGATAGTGTACCCCACCCCTCAACCAGACAGCTACGCCTCGAAAATACCCTCCATCGTGTCCATTACATTGCATGACTTTGCTTTAGCATGCCCATTAACTGTCTGAGGTTTTCATTGTTGAGATTAAATATGTAAGGACCTGATTGGAACTGAGCCATGAAACATAACAGTTGTGAATCTACTGTATAAGAAGTTGTGAAACATATCGCTTCTCAGAAATAAAGAAACAAAGCAGTGTACCTTTTGCTCCAACTGGTCCAATCTTTCCCATCATTCCAAAATCTCCTCGGCTCCCTGGCTCCCCAGGCAATCCTTTAAGAACACAATAATGGAACTAATCCATTTCCAAGCCTTAGCTACCACTTTAGAAAGATACAGAGATAAACTGTCATGAATTGCCAATGAGTTTGTATCTGTATGATAATTTAAGTTTTTTTTAAAAAAAAAAAAGCAGCACCATTTTCTACCAGAGAGTCAATTGTGTGTGCTGGTGAATTCCCAAATGTTTCAGTGAGTAAAGGAGATCAGTCTGAAGTACAAGAGAAGCCCTATATAGTCCATAGTCTCCTGAGTCTGGGCTGTGTTCAGTGTGCCTTATTGGACTGACAACTACTGTGAAAAATGGATCTTAAAATCATGAAAAAGACTCCTGAATTTCAATATTAAGATTCATTACTAATCAGTGAGTGTTTTAATCAGGAGATGCTATGTTAAAATTGTATAATGTACTAGTAAATATTTTAGAAGAATACTGAGTACAATTTTTGTCAGCGGGTTACATAAAAAAAGATTTTGTAAGAGAAGAGCAACATTGTGAAAACAATGAGAAAGTACACTTAAAAGCGAGAACGAGTGGCATGTTTTTACCTAAAGATTGTAAAAAGTATAGAACAAGCTACATGGCCATGTTATTGAGACTGACACCCTGGTTTCTTTCAAGACTAATTGAAACCAATTGGACCCCTGGACCAATGAACTACTAAATACAAAACAGACTAGGCGGGCCAAGGGGACTCCTGTCTTATGTGCTTATGTTGCATCATATGATACATACTGTATGAATGAGCTCATTTGTTGACGTTTGTTGCTCAGTTTTATGCTCATATACTGTATCTTTAAACACCGTTTCACAATCATCATTGTGAAATACAGAACACGTACCAGAAACAACACATTTTACAGCTATAATCTCATAAATTATATGTTCAACTATGAGAAAATCGAGTTATGTTTTCCATCCATGCTACTGTAGGTACCCATTTTGATTTTGTTTCTTCTGAAAAGTTCATTTTAATGTACAGAACCTCTCACAAACTTTTTAAGGTCATTTACAGCATTCTCCTTTAGGATATTTTAATTAAAAAAGAAACCGGAGAAATGTATGGGCAGGATACTGTTGTCTAAATGTTAAGCTGCTCGGTCTTATCAATTGAAAGTGAAGCACTGTAGAGTTCCGGACTTGCAACATCAGGAAGGCTCACATGATGAAAACAAAACTTGAGGAGTTATAGACCAAGTGTACACATTTGTTCTAAAGCTGAATGAAGATGAACAGATGAACTCCCTTGTGTGAAAGAAATAACTGGTAGAAATAGTTTAGGGAAAAGAAAAAACAATCCATTATCAGTTTTCCATCTTTCTGAGGTTTTGAATCGCCTGTTGTTTACTGGCAGCAATGAGGTATATGCTGCAGAAGGAGGAAGAGCAGCCATGTTGCTCTGTCCTGCCCAACTACAATGCTGCTCCACAGTTTGTTAGAGAACGTTTGGGGCCAGTGGAAGGAACTGCTAGTCCCTCACTGACTGGAAGCAGCCAAGGGTGTCACAGCAGTCGTTATTTCAACGAATGCCAAGAGCGCCCTGGCTCACTCAATCCAGCTCCAACGGTTCGCTGGTATATAAGGCATACTTTTCAGTGATCATCCAGCAATGGGTGCTTTTCTACCCTACAGCAGTGAGCATCCTGAGCAGTCAATGCATCAGAATTCAACGCACCTCCTCACTCTGCATGTTGACTTTATACCACGTATTTATTGTTCTATTTGTATTTATTACTCTGTTCGTTTATTGTCTGTAAATACTATCACTATTTATTATTTACTGTTTTGTAATGCACTGTCTACATTGCGTGGTGTTATCTATTGTAGAGTGTTGTGTGTTGTACTGTGCATGTCCTGAGAGAATGGCTCGAATAAGAATTCCATGGTACATGTACATATGGCAAATAAACTCCTTTACCTATCTATCTTGAGCCCAAGACATTCGGATCATGGAACTTAACCTGTTTGGAGTGTGTGTGTCTGTACTAGATAAACTGGTCAGTAGCTCCAATTTAATGCTAAACTGAAGAAACAATATCAGCCCAGATGGAGATTAAGGCAGTCAATTACAGCTGCCAGAAAACAATGAAAGAGAACACAAAAACAAACTGAATTAAGGTGTAAATTGAACTTAATAAAATCATTCATTCTGATCACGTGCATCCAATGAGATTAGGAATGGCGGATTAGTTTTATTATCTTCTTGAAATGGGCCACGCAAATTATAGAGAGATATTCACGACCAGAAGTCGGTAGCAAATTATGTATACACATAACTGACAAAACGAAAGCAGTGAGATTATGAAAGTTCATTTGATTTATGTGACCATTCTATGACATGTGAAATATGTATTGATTGCTTTCTCCTGACAATTAAGAAACAATGGCAATTTTCCAAAGAATCAATGCTCTCAAGACACATTAATTTATAGCATTTGAGTTTAGAGGTAACTTTAAAACCCTGCTTTACTCAAAGTATCCACACAGAGGCTGCTGACAGTGAAACTATACAGTATGGGTAATTAACTGTGTTGACACTAGCAATCAGTTTAAGTTAAAAGTAAACATTTAAAACAGCTTTGTTTACTTATATTGGAACTGAAATAACATTGAAAACCACAACCATATTTCACCCAGAAATGTATTTTTTTGTATCATACCAAGTGTGCTAAGAATGCAGTCTTCTACTCTAATAACTTCGTTCAAATATTGTTCTCCAGCACGTCTGCTTAATGCATTCCAGACTCTGAGTCAGTGACTTCCTTTAAAACTCATTTGGAAACCTGGCTTTTCCTACCTTGGCATTAAGCAGTAAGACTAATGGATTTTAATAAGCTTTCCTTCCCTTTTTAAATATAATTCTCTATAGGTGCTTTGTGATACCTGAAAAGAGTTACACCTTGTAAATCAAAGGCTGTTTTTGTTGTGTGTCTTGTCAGTGTTCATTATGATTGCAAACGTTATTCTCGTTGTACTGTGAATACAATTAAATAAAACAACATGTCTCTGTTCACCTCTTTGCCTCTTGATTTATCAAGTTATAGTTTTTGTCTCTGTATTTGCAGTTTCTTTGTAGGCACATCATTCCAATCCACTGTATGTACCAATGGATGTGCATGGGTTTTGAAGATTGAATAGTTTGCAAAGTTAAGATGCTGCCATTTGTTTACATTGTACTTTTTCATCTTGATCCATCATAGTTTAACTGTATATGAATGCACAATTTAAAACATGCATGATTTCTTTTAATAACACAGTAGTCTTTGGAAGCCAGTAATTTGGCATAGACATACATGAGAAAATCACAGAATTCTGTTGACTGATTCTCAATGGAGAGGTCAGCTGTTGCAGAGTGAATGCTTGAACTCCAAGCATTTTTTCTCAAAAACCTCTGAATTCATTCTCAAAACCACACAACATTTAGCCATGTTGTAATTCAGAGCAAATATAGCCCAGCATGACTTTGATGTCAAAAAACACAGTGTGTTATTAGTCTTTAAATCAAAGGACTTCAATTTAGACTAAAGACTATTTATGGCCATTCAAAAATATTCTTGGTTTTCCCCTTCGGTTGCCTAACCTGAAGATCCACATTTTGGAGTTTTGTTTGTATTATCACGTGTAATCAAATATATAGACAAACCTTTCAGTCCTGGGGGGCCCATCTTTCCCATCTTTCCTTCCACCCCTTCATCCCCTTTGCCCCCTTGTTCACCTGTCAGAAAAGGAAGGAAAGTTAGAAAAGCAGTCTTATAAGTTTCTATGTATCGCAAGCTGAATCTACAACCTCAATGCCACATTGAAATACATATATATTTTGAATGTAAATATGTATTTACATAATTACACGATACACAATATTTAGTGTAAATATAATATGTGGTGATACATAACATCGTAGATGCAAACTATATTAACTAAATCAAGAAATTGGTTGTCATAGTTTAAACTCCCTAAATTATACAACAGTCTCTGAACTAGTTTAAACTATTTCAACCATTTCCCATTCCCAGAATGAAAGGGAGGTGCCATAACTAGAAGAAATCACTATGAATCATGTGAAATGGGTCGCGTTCTCATAAAATATTCCAGACCTATTCCAGGCAGTCAGGCCAATGGCAAAACAGAACCAAAATCGTCCTCTTATTGTCTGAACTTTCCATGCATTGTTTTACAGTGATAGCAAAAACCTTCAGGACAGCAGAAACCTTAAAGAGACTTGCATATTAACGTTACACCTTTCATAAAGTCATACTTTACAATAGGCATTTCAAGACAAGGGTATTTTAATTCAACCTTCAAATTTTCCCTTCTATTACCAAAATAAAATATAACTATATTTCAGGGCCTTTCTGTGGTACAGTATACTGTGTGTACTATAAGTAAAATCTTCAATGAAAATTTAGTGGATCAAAAGTTTATTCTTACAAGCTTTGCCGTTTAACCATTCCTATCCTGCAAAATATATTTCATGTTATTTTACAATCCTGCATACATTTGAGGAAAGAACTGTTTATATATGAAAAGAAATGCCAATGTAATGGGTCAATTATTGCATCTCTTTTGTATTTTTTGATGTCATGTTTTATAATCCAAAGCTTGAAGAGCTATTCACTCTGTCTCTTTATTGAAGATTTTACAGTTTATGAATATGCATAAATAAATCAAGCAGAATTCAACACACTTGTACTGGACTTTAGAATTGATTTTCACAACACAAAACATTGTCTTTGATCAAAAAGTAAACCATTCCTCTACAAAAATGCATACATTGGTACACAAATATCTTCCAAGTATTCAAGAAATTGGTTGACATAGTTTAAACTCCCTAAATTATACAACAGTCTCTGAAATAGTTTAAACTATTTCAACCATTTCCCATTCCCAGAATGACAGGGAGGTGCCATAACTAGAAAGAAACAAAAATATAAGATAAGTCAAACATTTGTTAAAGAGTTACCTTTCATTCCAGGTAATATAGTGTTTGAGCAGACCTCTGTTCCATAATTAAAAATGAAATGTTGAAATAACAACAGCAAAAGCAAGTTTCCTGTGAGTTTTTGGTTGTCCATTGCTCTTATCAATATCCCAAACAGAACACAGCATGTCTTGAGAAATGGCTAAGTTCAAACATTTGTTTACTTGGCCTTATCTTTTGACTGTCCTGCTAGCCAATAACAGTTACCAGAATACTTGATGTCCCTTTCACACAACCTCATCTGGTATTTGTTATGCAGGCTTTGCACCGATCTTAACCTTCCAGTGTTCAGCTCACTTATTCAAATCAAAGAGATGATGTTTTAAACTTTTTGTTGTCTAAGCACTGAAATATTTCTGAATTTGAAAAAAACGTTTCAATTATCAACCGTCCTAACATAAGCGCTTTTTTTAAAACTTGGTAATGCCAACGAACATGCATGTTATATGTTATATGTGATATGTGAGAAAAAATGTGAGAACATTCGTCAATGAGAAGACAAAGACGAAGATGCAACTTTGTAATCGAAGTGAGCACATTATAACAGGCACTTTTCATTTGTGCCTGGTAAATTCCTAATTCCTAATTTTTGTATCATTAGTATATGTGGTCTGAGTACATCAACAGTGCAAAATCCACAAAAATTAGCTGTAAAAGCATATTTTGTTATTGTGTAGATGAACAATAATTTGCAACATCAAGTGTAGTGTCATGTGTTCTGTAGGGAAAATAACATTCTTTATCCAACCACAGGACTCAGTATGAGAAGGCAGAATAGTCTGGCCATGATACGCATAGACGGACAATTTTATAAATGGTTTGCAAAAACAAAGGCAACAACAAACTAAAAAAAAACAGTAAATTACTGTCAACAATTAACAACAAATAAGCATAAAAACTACAGTCTGGCTTTGCAGTGTAGCCAGCATGCCCACCCAGCATTACAACTAACATCACAGCGGAAGTCAGTTTGTAGGCCCTGTTTTCCTTTTTTTACTTTTGCAAAGTTGTAATTTGTCTTCCTGGCTTTCTTTTTGAGACATCACTAAAAAACAAAAAACGTGTTACTTTAAACTGTGTGTTCAACTCATTTTTCAGATATTAATCTTTATCCATCCATCCAGTATCTAGCTGCTTTATCTAATACAGGGTTGAATCAGTTTGCAATGGGTGCAAGGTGGGCTACACCCTGGACGCCAGTCCATTACAGGGCGCAAACAAACAAAGACACACACACTCACACCAGGGCCAGTTTTCCCAGAAGCCAGTTAAGACACCAGTATGTCTTAGGACTGTGGGAGGAAACCAGAGCACCAGGCAGAAACCCGCACGAATACAGAGATTCAAATTCCACACAGATAGTGCCCCAGGCCTGGGATTGATCCCAGATCCCCAGTGCTGTGAGACAACAATACTAACCACTGCATCACCGCACCATCCTTTTTATCCATCTATTATCAGAATTCCGGTAAGGGTCATGACAATGTAGGGATTGTTCTGGAATATAAAGGTTCTGGAACATAAGGAAGTTGGGACTGCCTCCTGGATAGGACCAGCATGAACTAGTCTGTCACACACACACACAAATATGGTCAATTTAAATACACCACTTTAGCCAGTCAGCCTTTAGAAAGTCTGGAGGAAAGGGCACCCCTAGAGATAACCCAAGCAGAACATTAGAACTCCACTCAGAATGTGCCCAGTCTAGAATCAAATCCATGACCCAGGAGTTGTGAGGTAGAAACCTTGACTGCCTCACCACCATGCTGGCAAGTATTTATTTTTGTAATTTTATATCTCTTTTTCTCATTGCAAAGTTATCTACACCACATACATTTGGCAGTGCATTGTTTTGCTAAATTTGAGTTTTCTCATCTTATTCTTAAGTCGTCATCAGTGGAAAGTTTTCCAGCCCTGGTCTTTTGTGGCACACTAATAACCTAACAAAATGTAAAATTTCTTTGATCTCAGTCAAGTGCTCTGAATAACTGGTTTTTGATCAGTTCACCCAGTTCACCACATTCTTTTTAAATATGAACAGAGCTATGGTCTGGGAAACTGCTGTGCCTCTGCGCTCTGTTTGCATCTCAATGTAAATACTGCTAGACAGTAAGAGTTGTGATCTTAGTGGCTAATTGCTTAAATGTGGTTTAATGGAGAAGCTTTACATTTACATGGAGTTAGAACGCCATGATTCACAGCAGTGAGGTGAAACTGTTTAGATGACGGCAAACCCGATACCACAACAGAAAAAAAGATGTGCAAAGGGCCAAATCTGGGACTGAGCCTGGAACATTTGTTAAGGTCTCCACTTTAATTCCGTGATTTGGGAGCATTTTTAGTGAGAAATCTACCCCTTGGTGCCAACATTATGTGCTTTCATTTCAATGCTCTTTATTTTCACCTGTGAGATGATACTCACTGGGCTTTTAAAAGGGTGATGTGGGTGGTCATACAAGGGGTGAAAAAGAAATAAAAAATCAAGCACAATAGGTTTATTTAAAATAATTGTATAGGTTTTTACCCCAACATGGACACACTGTATTTTCAAACCTCAATATGCAACTGGTATTGAGTTTTGACAACAGCAATTCACACTTTTTTTACTATAATTCAAAAGAGGGAAATATAAAGTTTACTGTAGTTTTGCATAGACCAATCCAAATGGTTAAATAATGCACTTTATCTATGAAGAATGGTTCCTATTGAAGAGTACTTTAATGGCATGTGAATAATGTCAGAGGAGACCAAACAGTGAGTTCAATGACAGGTATAAATTGGGCCACGTACAGTAACTCAACATTCATAACATTTTTGAAAAGATGGTACAATAATTGCATTGCTCAACAAATAATTAAAAACAACTGTGAGATAATTGGTTATGGATGAAACAACATGTACAGAAAAATAACATTCTAAACTAAACCAACATAATCTTGGAACACTGAATTTTACACCATGTGTAATGGGCAGCTATTCGGGATATGCAAATTGTATTTCAAACAATATGAAATTCAAACCATTGATCACAGGGATATTACAGAACAACGAGGTTTGTACAGCACAATAAAGTATTTCACTTATCTTTCATTTTCAGTATTTTCACATCGGACAACTGTAAAAAGGGCCTGCTTTTCCACGACAGGAACCTATGGTGCCAACAACAGCAGCACAAGTCCTTCTCAATATATGTTACAGTTTTTAAGAAAAGGAAACACCGAAACAGAGTGAGCAGGTAAGCAGAAAAAATGTTTACAGTAGCGCTGCTTCGCTTGTGATTTTCTCGACATAAAAAAAAGAAAGAAATTAACAAAAAATCAGCTGTCAGCTGCTCCAGCAAGGCCGGTTCCCTCAGGCTTGTTCGGTGCTTCAGTTCTCCGCTGCCGGCCCACCACATTGCTTCCCTATGTGGATTTACTTTTTGAGCTGGTTTGTTTGCTGTGTCTCTGTGTCCGGACTCCTTTCGCAAATGCCGGGCTGGTCGGCTTACTCTCTGCTTTTTCCCGGTTATCTCAGAAACCTACTAGATGGAGAACACGTTTTGTTTTACGGAGAGGACTGCGGCTTCCAGATTCTACCGACAGCTGCACGCTCTCTGATTACCTGACTTCCATTCACGCTAGATAAGAATGGAAATGTATTAATATTTCTGTTCTTTGAATAAACTGTACTGTATGTTTGTCCTTAAATATATGGCAAAAAGTTCCTTAGTTCTTGGACATTTCAGACAAGACGCCTGATGGTCCTAACATTCTTGGGAGTATGTCTTTGTTTTCGAAACTTTTAACTGTCCCACACTGAACACTGACAGGATTAACATTACTCGCCGTCAGGAGGCGAGTCAAAAACAGGGCACGAAATAAATCGTTCATGAGGAACTGAGATCATAAATCAGCACGGCGTTTTCTGCTGCAGAAGTAACAGTAATAAGCGCTGCGGGGAAAAAAAAAAACGAGGTGGATGACTTGTTTATGTCTGTTCCAGCTGAGTGAATTGATCATTTCCTTTTCCTCTTTGCCTTCTGTTTTTCTACTTTGAGTTGTATGGTTTAACAAACCAGACTGTTAAATGAGTTAATTATTAATTTTTTCAGCTGTTTGGCCCAATGCACCACCTGAGCTATTTCTCCATGCAAGTCTCACTTATTCAGTGCTACTTCCCAGATTGGTGAATGTTTTCTTTTGTGTTATTTTGGTTGCTCAGTTCAATGTACCAGACTGATGACTTAGCAGAAAATCTATTAAATGAGGTTGTCTACCTTTCTTCTCCCCGTTTCTTCCCTTTCCCCCAAGAATCTCAAATATTTTATTTTCCACCTTTTTCCACCTTAATATTTAATCAACCAATCAAGTGGATACATCAGAACTCATTTCCATTCCCCTTCTTCCCTTAAAAAACTTTCCTCAGGGATCATGTATCAAGAGGACTTTTTTCAATTGTTTAGTTCTGTTTTTTAGTCTCTAAACTACATAGATGACAGAATCAATTTCAATGGCAGAATGCCTAATAGTAATTCAAAATAAATAATTTAAGATGAACGTTCTCCCAGGTAAATCTACAATATGGAAGATGTTATTAAAGAATATGTTGGTATCTATGGTCTTGTGGGGTGGAGGTGGAGCAGACAGGGAAAATGAAACATCTGGCTATCACTGATGGACATATTACAAGAATAATCTTCCAGTCAACAGGGATACCTAGTCATACAAGTATTCATGCTCAAGGTAAAAGCTTGTTGACTGCACAGCTTAGTCAGCATCATCATTTCAGACCTCACAGGGAGATACATCTAAAAGAAACTCTATTGCTCTTTGACAGCTGTGGAATTCCATTGCTATTCATTGAAGAGTTGAAACAGACTGTCAGACTGCTTAAACACACTGACAGAAATTTATATTTACATAGCTGCCCTTGAACTATCTTTAATTAATAATATGTTTGAGAAAGTCAAAAAAGAAAAAAACAAATGCTCTAATGGTAGTTATACTGTACCTGTCAAAACTACTGATTGTGGAAACAATAATCAAATCAAACAAGATTCCACAGAGCACCCAAAAAGCAATGCAGCATAACTCTGAGCTTCTCTGGCAGAACGCTTGGGCAAACATACAGTTAATGGCACTGGCCCCAGAACAGGCTGGTCTAAACATGC